GGACGTGGGAACTGAGATACAGTTTTGACTTGTCATTAACTGTGAGTATGCCCTCACCGTCGACTACATGACCAAGGAAATGGATTCTGGATTTTAAAAACTCACACTTTGAGAGTTTTATTTTGAGTCCTGCTGTGGAAAGTTTGGCCAACACTTCACGCAGTTTAATGAGATGGGAATCGACGTCCTTACTGACTACTATTAGATCATCCAAATAAGCGCAGACTGTGTTCCCAATCAATCCGGCAAACAGGGTGTTGATCATTCTTTGAAATGTTAGTGGGGCATTTCTGAGACCAAATGGCATCCGGAGGAACTCAAAGTGGCCAAGAGGCGTGCTAAATGCCGTGATTTCTCATCGAGTGGTATTTGCCAATACCCAAGAAGCAAATCTAAGTTGCTAAATACCGCATTATCCTTGCCTAAGGATTGCAATATGTCGCTCAAGATAGGCATAAGGTACCTATCAGGGATCGTTTGATCATTGACGCGCCTGAAATCTATAACAGGGCGCCATCCACCATACTTTTTCGGGACGAGGAATAATTGGCTATTAAAAGGGGATTTTGAGTGTCTAATAACATTCTCATCTAACATACCCTGTACCATATCTTGCACTACAGCGCGCTGGCTATGAGGTAGTCTGTAAGCTGGTACATAAATAGGGCTGGTTCGCTCCTTTAAAGCTATATGATGGGATGTTAAATCTGTCTGACCTAGCGTTTCCCCTGGCAAGGCGACTATATTTCTATAGTCGGCAAGCAGCTCTAAAAGGCGTGTCTTGCCCTGGGGATGATCGATCACCTTAACATGTGGCGCTATTTGATCTATCCTGGCCAGTCGAGTCTGTTGGCATTTCGCAACAATACCTCGAATTGGGAATTTTGCAGGCCGCACTTCGACATTGTTGTGATATACTAGAAAATCACACAAATAACAACCTTTCTTTAAGATTCGCTGAACACCTGTTCGATTTAGAATCAGTACGTCGGTCAAACCACCAGGGCGTATAGTGCTCAGGGTAGATTCACATAACAGCCCTTTTACCTTGCATGTTTCTGGGAGACACACAACATCTGTGCCCGTGTACACGTTGAGTAGTTCGACAGTTGCTTTGGTGATTTCCTCATTTTGGTAATGGAGAGTACTCTTCAACACTGCTGGTACGATCGTCCAACTCTTCCTGCTGTAATCACGCTGGGAAGGTGTGTGGTTGAGGTTGAGAGATATCTCTGACGCATGATCCGCCTTCCTCTTAATAGGATTGGTAGACAACACTTTCGTCCTACCTTTGAGCATAGGTTCAGAATGACTCATTGCTGTGTAGGAAACACCTTTAAACGTAACACTATTATTACGTGGAAGAACATCTATCATGTTCTTTCGAAGAGTTGGTAGACCAAGTAACCCGTCAGCTGGCAAATTAAACTGCTGAACTATATAGAAGTCCGCGTAGAAGGGAGAACCACGTCTTGAGAATCTGAGTGGTAACGTCACCATTCCTTTGATGCTCAGCTGAGTACCTGAAACTCCTTCGAGCTCAGCGTTACTAGGCCTCCATTTGAAGTTGCGGTGAGGTAATTTACGTTGTAACTCGTGATATGATGTCAAGGCCAATACATTAGCGCAAGCACCTGTGTCTATATCAAGAGCCAATCTTTTATTATCCACTCTCACCGGTACTGACAACACTTCCACTTTGCTAAGCGCCGCTACAAATGAGGCCGCTATAGAAGTGCTGTGAGGAGGGGTGGGGATTACCCTATCTATCCCTCTCCTTGTTGTGGTGTGCGCTGGTCTTCCCCCGATGACTTGTCCTGGGGACGTTTCTGCTTGCGCTTATACGACACCTCCGTTTCACTAAGGTCCACTGCCCTAGCCTTTATTAGTATATCGCACTCATGTGAACTATGAGATGTCGATTTGTGAAGAGCGCACCATTTGCGCGCTTTCTGGTTAAGAGGAGGTGCTGGTCTGGCTGCCTCACTGTATGACCTTGAGAATAGCTTTGCACCGGGTGTGGCCTTAAAATTTGCACTATTACCTCAAAGCTGAAAACAATCTTCCATTTCGTGGCCACGTTTATAACAATGTGCGCATCGTAAAGATGTTTTTTGTTTATATTTCAGGTGGGGAGGTGCAATCGGAGCTAAGTGTGTCGCATAAGGAGTCTGGGAGGGAGGCATGTGCGCCATCTGAGGCACATGTGCGACCCTATCATCATCTTGACCTGTGAAATTTCGAACATAGTCGCCACGCTGCATGATATTAATAATATTATCAAGTTTAGGTGTGGTAGTAGTACTGGCGTAAGGGTTAGAAGAAGCCATTGTAGTGTTAGTATTCTTACTTCTAACATAAGGCTGGGTTAATAAGGTTGTTACCGATTTAGCAACAGACACACTATCACCTGTAACAGGGGTAACTGTTTTTGTATACTTAGGTGAAGTACTATATTGATTACCAGATCGTAGGGTACGACGGTTTAAGTCGTCAAACGATTCCTCAATAACTTTCTCACTACTTCCTACCGAATCGTTAAACTGTGTTCCCGACTCAAAGTTAATGTCAGTCTTTGCTTGATCATCGACGAGTTGGTTATATGCAAACAGTTGCGCTAGGCGTTCAATGACATCAACATTAGACATGGGAAACTTAAAAAATTATCTATTAGTCTCTCGTGGGTCAATGAATACTTAACAGTAAAAGCAGATCACTTGCCTCTCATTTACAAGATAAATGAATATGAATTGTAGTTAATAATTAAACTATCAATAAGAAGACAGACACTTAAAAACCACTGTAAATTATAGAATTTCAATACATTAATTTTACATTCGACACTTTATCATTGAAATAATCCTATCCGACGAACCTATCGGTGTGAAGATATCTCTCGAACGTGTTCATGTGTGTATAATTATGTAATTTAAATACCTATTTATACAGGGTGTTACGTCTGTATAGAAAACGTGATCCTTCAAGCCGAGTTCCGAGTCGAGTCTTGTGTGGAGGGTGGGCGGGGCCTCTTCCTGGTGATGCGTGCGCTGCTCCTGGTTTCCTTGGCAACGAAGAGACGCTTCTACCTTGGCGAGAGACGAGTCCACTTCAAACTAGGGTTGGTTCTCCACAGTCGATCAGAAACTGCTGATGATTGGTAATCACTCTGTTCGTTGCTAGGTCGCTAGCGAGACTGCCGTGTGCCAAGTCTTCACAGTCTACGTATATATGGAGATCTGTATGATGATATCGGAACTTCGTAATTAACGCTGGCTACACAACAAAACTGTTCAGCTGCTTGTGAAATATCAATTGTTAGTCCAAGTTATGAAACCTTTCTTCAACACTGCAACACTGTAACTAGAAAATGCTGAGTGGGGCCTACTTCAACGGGCACAAACTGGATATTCACCAACAGGCTGTGATATATGTATATTACGAATTCTGCACGTTTTTGTATGTGACAGAGATAAGGAGCACTCACTAAATATCGTCTCGATACGGGATATAGTTTTAAACACTCGGATTATGTAACGCGTCACTGTTGTGTGTTTTCTGTTTTTCACAAAAACACTGACTGTTTGATACGACTACCAGTTTAAGAATCCGTACACACCACTTGCCACCTATATGAATCGGCTACTTGTGCAATTAACCAGGTCGTTCACATATATTTATTATTTGGGTTTAAGTAACGAAACCCAAACGGTAGTTCCTTGTTTTATTATAAAAGGATTGTATATATAATTCCTGAGTGTAGATCGACCGTAAGTTCCACTGTAGAGGAGTGAATGAGAAAGGGCCGGCGTTTATGTTTTATAAACGTTAGGTCGCGTCCTTACGATATAACTTTCTGTGAGCGACTAAGGAGTAAGGGCCTCGCTGTGCGGGCTTACAGATATGCTGACGATGGGTCTCTCCCTCTTGGGAGAGTTGCCCTCTCATGTGTACAACGCATGTTTTACTCATAGACAGTGGAAAGTTACAGGGTGGTGAATCTGAATATAATATCAGATGTATTGACCCATTTATATAATATGTTCTGTTGATGAGACAGGGGCCCATTACAGGCACTAGGGACCTGCCACACTTTGCCATAAACAGATAAATTGTACCGGGAATTTTCCCCCCCGCACTCATCATTCTGTCACTTTATGTAACTTGCTGACAAAACCCATGAACCTTCAGGCTTTTACTCCCTTAATGCATGAGTCAGAAAGGCAAGCATGAACTCCGCATGCTTCCCAGATGGGCACTGTAAACGCTTCTGCGCTTCACCTTGCACAGGATGTAAGGGGGTGCCCAATAAACTAGCCCCCTCGGGGGCAATCTAATCTAAATCTAGTACTGTTGTTTTAGTGTAGATGTTTCATCTGGCTGTAGTACAATACTGACACTTCACTCACCTCAACTAACATGACCAATACATCACATGAGTAAAGGCGATCAAGCGTAAGTTAGTGATTCATGATAAGAAATGTGGACAAATTGGAGATGCAAGTTGTTTTTTCTTCAGTATATTGGTTAGTGTGAGTGTAGCGGGTCGGTGAGTTTCAGGCCGTGGTCAGGGTGTAGTCTTCCGTCTCATTACTATCATGATACATATGCGCTTTACATGATCATCTGTCTGTTAGTACACACTGAGACCATTAAGAAAACACTATTGAACAGTTCTCAAATAATTCATGGACATGGAGAGTTAGGCGGCGCTGCGTGAGTAGACTTGTCAAGATTATGGCAAGTCAAGGTTCCAAAATTTGCACTAAACTTTATGCTATTTTTGGCATCCTTCTTATTATTACAGTTGAGGTGGAGTAATGCTAAGCACAGTCTTTGATGTATGATGAAACACATTTTAAGATCAGAATTTAATCTTAATCCTTTCACAGCGGGTTTCATAGCTGAATAAAATCGCCTGGCGGTAGCCAGAATGAAATGGCAAGTGCGTGACACGCGGTGAAAGGGTTAATGAGACCTGAGTTATTAACAGATTGACTCACCTCATTTAACGAGATAATTTTAAGATTGTAAACAATGGGCAGTATGACTTGGTGTAGCAACACACACGCAGGGATGCCGCCCAGTAAAGTTGTCCACAGCTGTGTACCGTACAAGTACACCTCAGTGGCGTTACCTGTTGAAGGTTACCAAGGTATAAAAGACAGTACAGTGGTGTAAGGCGACACATTGATGACATGGGGTTAAACAAGTGACCACGCTAACCTAATATAGACAGCCATGGTATGAGTGGTGTAAGAAGACGCATTGATGACATGGGGTTAAACAAGTGACCACGCTAACCTAATATAGACAACCATGGTATGAGTGGTGTAAGGCGACACATTGATGACATGGGGTTAAACAAGTGACCACGCTAACCTAATATAGACACAGCCATGGTATGAGTGGTGTAAGGCGACACATTGATGACATGGGGTTAAACAAGTGACCACGCTAACCTAATATAGACACAACCATGGTATGAGTGGTGTAAGGAGACACATTGATGATATAGTGTTAAACAAGTGACCACGCTAACCTAATATAGACAACCATGGTATGAGTGGTGTAAGGAGACACATTGATGACATGGGGTTAAACAAGTGACCACGCTAACCTAATATAGACACAGCCATGGTATGAGTGGTGTAAGGCGACACATTGATGACATGGGGTTAAACAAGTGGATAGACACAACCATGGTATGAGTGGTGTAAGGCGACACATTGATGATATAGTGTTAAACAAGTGACCACGCTAACCTAATATAGACACAACCATGGTATGAGTGGTGTAAGGCGACACATTGATGATATAGTGTTAAACAAGTGACCACGCTAACCTAATATAGACACAACCATGGTATGAGTGGTGTAAGGCGACACATTGATGATATAGTGTTAAACAAGTGACCACGCTAACCTAATATAGACAACCATGGTATGAGTGGTGTAAGGAGACACATTGATGACATGGGGTTAAACAAGTGACCACGCTAACCTAATATAGACACAGCCATGGTATGAGTGGTGTAAGGCGACACATTGATGACATGGGGTTAAACAAGTGACCACGCTAACCTAATATAGACACAGCCATGGTATGAGTGGTGTAAGGAGACACATTGATGACATGGGGTTAAACAAGTGACCACGCTAACCTAATATAGACACAGCCATGGTATGAGTGGTGTAAGGAGACACATTGATGACATGGGGTTAAACAAGTGACCACGCTAGCCTAATATAGACAACCATGGTATGAGTGGTGTAAGGCGACACATTGATGACATGGGGTTAAACAAGTGACCACGCTAACCTAATATAGACACAACCATGGTATGAGTGGTGTAAGGCGACACATTGATGACATAGGGTTAAACAAGTGACCACGCTAACCTAATATAGACACAGCCATGGTATGAGTGGTGTAAGGAGACACATTGATGACATGGGGTTAAACAAGTGACCACGCTAACCTAATATAGACACAGCCATGGTATGAGTGGTGTAAGGAGACACATTGATGACATGGGGTTAAACAAGTGACCACGCTAACCTAATATAGACACAGCCATGGTATGAGTGGTGTAAGGAGACACATTGATGACATGGGGTTAAACAAGTGACCACGCTAACCTAATATAGACACAACCATGGTATGAGTGGTGTAAGGCGACACATTGATGACATGGGGTTAAACAAGTGACCACGCTAACCTAATATAGACAACCATGGTATGAGTGGTGTAAGGAGACACATTGATGACATGGGGTTAAACAAGTGACCACGCTAACCTAATATAGACAACCATGGTATGAGTGGTGTAAGGAGACACATTGATGACATGGGGTTTAACAAGTGACCACGCTAACCTAATATAGACACAGCAGATATGACGCCACCCAGCAGAGAGAACGCCACGGGCACGGGAGACAGCGTCCTGCTGCCTGTCAGGTAATCCTGTGAGGACACTCTTTTTCGATTCTTGAAGGCACTGTACACACCGATGCCGACGGACATGACCAACATAAGGATGAACACTGTGTAGTCCACCACCGTGAACTTTGACCCCAAGAGGTGATCATCTGTCGCTACTTCTTCACTTGTCGCCCACATCTGTAACAAGAACCAGTCCTGTATGATAAAGTTTGGTAAACACAAACATTGTCTCTAACTAGAAAACATAAAGTATAGGAGAGATTGATGAAAGCTCTTCTCTGACGCCAGTAGCGGAGTTAACTACAAACTACACACACAACAAAGTAGCAACAAGAATCATATATATTCACACTACTTATGGTCAGGATTTGTATAATAATTTATTGATAATAATATAAACACCTTTTGTTATACGGACTACACAACAGTACAGTATAGGACAGTACTGTACTGTATACAGTACAGCATAGTATAATACAGTATAGTAGAGTACTGTATAGTATACAGTACAGTACAGTACAGTACAGTACAGTACAGTACAGTATAGTACAGTATACAGTACAGTACACCAAAGTACAGCAGAGTACAGCACAGTACAGTACAGCACAGAATAGTACAATACAGTACAGCACAGTACAGCACAGTTCAGTACAGCACAGTATGGTACAGTACAGTACAGAACTGTACAGTACAGTACAGCACAGTATAGTACAGTACAGAACAGTATAGTACAGTACAGTACAGCACAGTATAGTACAGTACAGTACAGCACAGTAAAGTACAGTAAAATACAGGACTGTACAGTACAGTACAGCACAGTATAGTACAGTACACTGCAGCACAGTACAGTCAGCACAGCATAGTATAGACCAGCACAGTATAGTATTGTACAGCACAGTATAGAACAGTACAGTACAGCATAGCACAGTACAGTACAGCACAGTATAATACAGCACAGCACAGTATAGTACAGTACAGCACAGAATAGTACAGCACAGCACAGTACAGCACAGCACAGTATAGTACAGTACAGCACAGAATAGTACAGCACAGCACAGTACAGCACAGTATAGTACAGTACAGTACAGCACAGTATAGTACAGTACGGTACCGTACAGTATTCAGTACAATATACAGTACAGTACAGCACAGCACACTATAGTACAGTGCAGTACAGTATACTGCAGTACAGTACAGTATAATACAGTACAGCACTGTATAGTACAGTACAGTACAGCACAGTATAGTACAGTACAGCACAGTAGAGTACAGTATAGTACAGTACAGTAGAGAACAGTATAGTACAGTACAGTATAGCACAGTATAGCATAGTACAGTACAGCATAGTACAGAAAAGCACAGTATAGTACAGCACAATACACTGTACAGTGCAGTACAGTACAGCACAGTACAGCACAGTACAGCACAGCTCAATACAGCACAGTATGGTACAGTACAGTACAGGACTGTACAGTATAGTACAGCACAGTATAGTACATTACAGCACAGCACAGTATAGTACAGTACAGTACAGCACAGTATAGTACAGTACAGTACAGCACAGTATAGTACAGTACACTGCAGCACAGTACAGTCAGCACAGCATAGTATAGACCAGCACAGTATAGTATTGTACAGCACAGTATAGTACAGTACAGTACAGCATAACACAGTACAGTACAGTATAACACAGTACAGTACAGCACAGTATAGTACAGCACAGCACTGTATAGTACAGTACAGCACAGAATAGTACAGCACAGCACAGTATAGTACAGTACAGCACAGAATAGTACAGCACAGCACAGTACAGCACAGCACAGAATAGTACAGCACAGCACAGTACAGTACAGCACAGGGTAGTACAGTACAGTACAGCACAGCATAGTACAGTACGGTACCGTACAGTATTCAGTACAATATACAGTACAGTACAGTATACTACAGTACAGTACAGTACAGTACAGTATAGTACAGTACAGCACCATATAGCATAGTACAGTACAGCACAGTACAGAACAGCACAGTATAGTATAGTACAGTACAGCACAGCATAGTACAGAACAGCACAGTATAGTACAGTACAATACACTGTACAGTGCAGTACAGCACAATACAGTACAGTACAGTACAGTATACAGTACAGTATGCAGTACAATACAGTACATCACAGTACATTACAGTACAGTACATTAGAGTACATTACAGTACAGTACAGTATACAGTACAGTACAGTACAGTATACAGTACAATATACAGTACAGTACAACATATAGTACAGTAAACAGTACAATACGTTATACAGCACGGTACATTACAATACAGTATATAGTACAGTATACAGTACAGTACATTACAGAACAGCACATTACTGTACATTACAGTACATTATAATACAGTACAGAGTACAATGCAGTATCATACATTAAAGTACATTATAGTACATTACAGTACAGTACAGTACACCACACAGGACAGTATACAGTACAGTACATTAAGTACAGTACAGTACAGAACAGTATACATTACAGTACATTAAGTACAGTACAGTACAGAACAGTATACAGTACAGTACATTACAGTACAGTACATTAAGTACAGTACAGTACAGTATACAGCACAGCACAGTACATTACAGTACAATACAGTATACAGCACAGTATACAGTACAGTACAGTATGGTACAGAATACAGTACAGTATACAGTACAGTACAGTACATTACAGTACAGTATACAGTACAGTACAGTATACAGTACAGTATACAGTACAGTACAGTACATAACAGTACATTACAGTACAGTACAGTAGGGTACATTACAGTACAGTACAGTATAAAGTACATTACATTACAGTACATTACAGTACAGTAGAGTATATAGTACATTACAGTACAGTACAGTATACAGTACAGTACAGTACAGTATACAGAACAGTACAGTACAGCTATACAGTACAGTACAGTATACAGTACAGTACAGTACATCACAGAATATTACAGTACAGTACAGTACATTACATTAGAGTATACAAAACAGTACAGTACAGTACAACACAGTATAGCACAATACAGTACAGTATAGTATGATACAGTAAAGCACAGTACAGTACAGTGTAGTATAGAATGGTACAGTACAGTACAGTATAGCACAGTACATTACAGTACAGTATGGTACAGTAAAGTACAGTATAGTACAGTCCATTACAGTACAGTATGGTACAGTACAGTACAGTTCAGTAAGGTACAGTATAGTACAGTGCAGTACAGTACAGTACAGCACAATACAATATGGTACAGTACAGTATGGCACAGTATAATATAGTATAGTATGGTACAGTACAGTACAGTACAGTATGGTACAGTACATTACAGTACTGTGCAGTACTTTACAGTACAGTACATTTCAGTACAGTACAGTACAGTACAGTACATTACAGTATAGTACAGTACAGTACAGCACAGTCAGTATGGTACAGTGCAGTACAGTACAGTATGGCACAGTACAGTACAGTATAGTATAGTATGGTACAGTACAGTACAGTACAGTACGGTACAGTACAGTACATTACAGTACAGTACAGCATGGTACAGTATGGTATGATGCAGTCAGTATGGTGCAGTACAGTACAGTATGGTACAGTACAGTACAGTATAGTACAGTACAATATGGTACAGTACAGAACATTACAGTATGATACAGTACAGTACAGTAAAATATGGTGCAATACAGTACACTATAGTACGGTACAGAACAGAACAATACGGTACAGTTCAGTATGGTACAGTGCAGTACAGTACAATATAGTACAGTACAGTACAGTGCAATATGGTACAATACAATACAGTGCAGTATAGTACAGTACAATATGGTACACTACAGTACAATACAGTACAATATGGTACAATACAGTACAGTATGGTAGAGTACAGTACAGTACAATATGGTACAGTACAGTACAGTATAGTGCAGTATACAGTACAGTACAGTAAACAGTACAGTATTCAGTACAGTACAGTACATCACAGAATATTACAGTACAGTGCAGTAGAGTACATTGCAGTACAGTACACAATACAGTACAGTACAGTATACAGTACAGTGTACAGTACAGTACAGTATGCAGCACAGTACAATACATGACAGCACAGTACATTACAGCAGAGTACAGTACATTACAGTAAAGTATACCGTACAGTACAGTACATTACAGTACAGTTACGTACAGTATACAGTACAGTATATAGTACAGTACAGTATACAGTACAGTACAGTACAGTACAGTACAGTACAGTGCACTATACAGTACATTACACTATACGGTACATTTCAGTGCAGTACATTACAGTGTACAGTACAGTACATTACAGTACAGTATACAGTACAGTACAGTATACAGTACATTACAGTTCAGTACATTACAGTCCAGTACAGTACAGTATGCAATACAGTACAGTACATTACAGTACAGTACAGTACAGTATACAATACAGTACATTACAGTACAGTACAGTACAGTACAGTATACAGTACATTACTGTACAGTACATTACAGTACAGTACAGTATATAGTACATTACAGTATAGTACATTGCAGTACAGTACATTGCAGTACAGTACAGTACAGTATACAGTACAGTACATTGCAGTACAGCACAGTACAGTACATTACATACAGTACAGTACATTACAGTACAGTACATTACATCACAGTACATTACAGTACAGTACATTGCAGTACAGTACATTACAGTACAGTACTGTACAGTACATTACAGTATGGTACAGTACAATACAGTACAGTACAGCACAGTACAGTATGGTACAGTAGAGTATGGTGCAGCACAGTACAGTATAATATGGTACAGTACTGCACAGTACAGTATGGTACAGCACAGTATAGTATAGTACAGTACAGTACAGTACAGTACATTACAGTATAGTATAGCACAATACAGTACAGTACAGTCCAGTATGGAACAGTACAGTACAGTACAGTATAGTACTGTACAGTACAATACAGTATGGTACAGTACAGTACAGTATAGCACAGTACATTACAGTACAGTACATTACAGTACAGTGCAGCACAATACAGCACAGTAAGTATGGTACAGTAGTGCACAGTACAGTATGGTACAGCACAGTATAGTATAGTACAGTACAGTACAGTACATTA